TTATTATTATTATTATTATTATTATTATTATTATTATTATTATTATTATTATTATTATTATTATTATTATTATTATTATTATTATTATTATTATTATTATTATTATTATTATTATTATTATTATTATTATTATTATTATTATTATTATTATTATTGTTATTATTATTATTATTAAATGTTTTATTTTTACTACTATTGCATTAATATTGAAATTTATGATGTTGAAATTTTTATTTGTTACAAAATTAAATTATCAGAATCTAAAATAATTAAGTAGACATGCATTTCGATCCTTTCTCTTATATCAACAAATGATATTATACTATTTATGGTGACATCTTTCAATTAATTAATGTACTCATTTTCTTTTTTCACCTTCTTCTGACCATTATTGTTACGAATATTGAATAAATTACAGGTAGAAAATGCATCAAATGTGTTATGTTTGGTAGAAGTGATTAAAATTGATGGACTTTTATTTGGTGATCGAATGATTTATGTTGATAATATCGAACGAAAGCATTCTATATATACAGCTTTAAAGAAGGCTATTAAAGATGGTCATTATCGTATTAATGTATATTACAAAGAAGTAAGTAAATTTTTATTTTAGAATTAAGAATTAGACAATTTAATGTTTTTAGCCAACGATCAAAATGGAATAAATAATTGATATTTAAATGTCCTACCGGAAATTTTGTCACTTTTCATGTTCAAAAATTTGACCACATTTGAATTAAATATAAATAACATGAAATATTAATTATTTGAATAATTTCAAATATATTCGAACGATAATTAAAGGTTTATTCGGCTATTTTTTTTCTTTTGTCGAAATTTATGAAATTTTTTTCACTTAAAAAGTATATTTTTGATTAAATAAGCCATTGATTTATTCATTTCATTTTTTTTATTTAAAGAAATTTTAAATTTAAGACTTCAAATATTATTATCAATTTTTTTTCTGTAATTTTTAGGATTTACCAAAAGAATATGGATATTCGAACAATGATAAAATTGGTGATATATTACTTGAACCTGAACCAGGATATAATGTTCATGTTAAATGTTCACATAATGTAAGTATTTCTTTTTGCTTTGCCTATTTTTCTTTTTTTTTGAAAGTGTTGTTTATTTTTTTTTTTTTGTAATTATTTAATTTTCAATAATTACATTATTAATTATTAATTAGGATAAAGAAGTTTCACAACCGTTTCATTTTTCATCACATGGAATGAATCCAAATCATTGGACAATGAAATCAATTTTAATAATGAAAGGACCAATGTTTAAGCAAAATTATCGAGTAAGTATTTATTTGTTAACATATAATATGGTGTAAAATAAATATTTTCAATAATTTTTAAGGTTTTCATCTTTTTGTTTTTTTTTAATTCTTTATCTTTTTTGATAACATATCATACTCTTATCAACTAATCTATATAATACTGATATAATATAAATAAAGTAATCATTGAAATATTTCATTTAAACATTGTTAAATTTGATAACAAAATTCAAATGTTGAAATTGGAGACAAAATAATAAACGTTGAATTTAAATTAAAATTTTGTAAAATTATAATATATGGTTTTTTTTTTTTTCAAATAGATTGATGCGACAGCAAACAATCTCGATCTGTATCCATTGATGTGTTATATTTTGGGTGTAATACCAGCACCAAATAATGGTACTTTAGAACGTATATTGGATGTACTGAATATGCCACTTCTATCAATACATACATCGTCAACTAGAAAAATCGAAGTTATTAATTTCTTTTTGATTATAAAATTTATAATAAATTAAAATTGAATAGTAGATAGAAATGGAAAGTGAATTTCATTGAAATTATAAAATTTGTCAAGTTTTTTCTTTTCATTCCTTTCTTTCTTTCTTTCTTTCGTTTTTTTTCCTTTCGCTTGTTTATTTATCAATAAAATTTGATGACTTTTAACAAAATTTGCAATTTGTTAAAGTTTACAAAAAAAAATTAATTAATTAAAAAGGAATAATTTTGAATATTTGATGGAAAAATTTATGATTACATGTAA